ACGCTGCTATGGGATCAAAATCCTAGGTCTCAGATCATGAGCCACATTTAAAAGGATGTTAGAGCTAGGTTGTTTCCTATCCTCGACCTCCTTCTCCTCCAGAGGAGTCCTCCAAAAAGCTAAACTCTCTTTTTAGATCTAAGCCTCTTTTGGTGCATTTTGTGTTCTTGAAGGGAGAAGAGCTTTTGTGAGTCTTAGAGCACCTAAGCAAGCTAAAGTCCAAAGCTCCTCATGGACATTTGTAAGTATTCAAGCCTCTCTTTATGTTTCATTCCATTTGGATCTAGAAAATGAGCAACTTTCCTAGTGATATGTAACTTTTGAGAAGTTGAAGTTTAATAAAGTTTGCAACTTTATCACCCTTTGAGGTGCATAGAACATCATATGTTTCAGATTTGAAGTGGTTCACTTGCTTGATGCCATGCATAAAGTTTTGACTCTATTTTCACCATTTTCACCTATATTAGGAGGACATGTATGTCCATAAATTTACGATTTTTTTTGGTCCTTTGGGATGCAAAGAAGCTTTCTAGAAAAATTTAGGGTTGTCTTAATGGATTAAGAACAAAATAAGGCTTTGAATCTACCAATCAGCTCACGGAGCAATTAACAGGTGACAACGGCTTGGTGGGTAGGATCATCGCGATGATCATGGTCTAGCCGGACCACATGGTAGCCAGTGTCTTGTCACAATGTGGTTAGCCCTGACCATTGACCTTTAACTTTTTGACCAATTTGATTTTTGGTCAAACATTAGTAAAAGTGTATCTTAGGCCTTTAAGTAATGGAAAAATAGTCTTTTTTCCTAGGATAAGGACTAAGAGAAGATACTTATTATGTAGGTTATGTGTTATATGTATGTTAACTGGATATCAGCCCCTCGGGGGATCTAGTTAACTCAGAAGGATGTTGGGCCATGACATACCTCACGAAGGGAAGTGGTGAATACCAAGTCAACTAGGGATAGACCTCCCGGAGGGAATCTTGCAAACTATGGTAAGATATTTTAGCATGCCATTGTATGTTATGTGATCAAATTTATGTGATTATAACTTGATGTTTATGTGTTATCATGTGGAATGCATATGATTTTTATAATGGGTGAGTGTTGTGATTACTCAGTAAGCCTTAAGATTATAGTTGCTACTTCATGTTTTTAGTTGTAGGTTCTTCCGCTCGAAGGGCAAGGAGCTGGCATGATTAGGATATCTAGAAATTCCCAGAAGGGCATGACATTTCGTTTAACCACTCCACGTTACGTTATGGTTTTCAAAACAAAACTTAGCTTCCATGTTTTTACAATGAATATGTTGGCGTGACCAGTTAATGATAATTTTATGAGTTACTAATGAATACAAATGAAACCATTTTGTAAAAAATATACTATGATTTTCAAAATTTTATGGTTGGTTTTTTGGGATGTTACAAGTTGATATCAAAGTAATGGTTTGAGACAATTAAATATTTTTCCTGTTGTGTTTAGACTCAAACCACTTTATATTTTCATAAAAGAATTGTTTTTATATGAAAAACTATGTAAAATGGACCAACTTTGATAATATAAGTGAAGGGAAATACCACATTCCTCAGAGAAGAGAATACAGATCATGTAATCGTCCGAGCTCCACAGTTAGTCATCATGACTAAGTGATATGGTATATACTGATTTATGTGATGAAACTGATTTATGTGCCTTATGTTATGATTATATGCAATCAATATATGATCATATGATAGGAAATGATTAGTTCCACTGAGGTAGCTTGTAGTTAACCTTCCATGATATTGCATGCTAGTAGATAGACTAAGGAGCTTATCAGGATAGTGTGCTAGAATTTCTTGTTAAATTAGTTGCTTGACTAATGAATTGCTTAAAATCTATATCAATGTTATTTAAATGTTAAAATGAATGTGTTGTGATTACATTCCCCCATAATTAAATAGTCTTATATTCGTTGATATGGACCTATTGAGCAGCTCTTGTTTGAGTCCAATCATTTTAGTGATGAACCTCTCAGTCGAATGATTGTTTGGTTTTAGATGCATGTAGTAAGTATTTATAAGATAGTTAATTAACATTGATATAAGTTTCTTTTTCTCGGTAAGATAGTAGGGTGAGGTGGAATATATATAGTTAGAAGAGTCCTAGAAGGTGAATCTAGGAAGATTAGTGACGTATGATCGTCTGAGCATGTGTATATATGATTATAACGTTAAGTATTGGTAGTGAGTAGTGAGTTAGGAACCATGAGAAAATTCTTGGGACGAGTATGGATAGGTGTGGAAGGTAGTGTAATATTCATAATGCAAGTCTTTACCCTTTAACCCTTGGAATGAAATTATTTTTGAAAAGGAGGTCCCTACATACGCTAGGCGTACATATGCTTATGCTTAGCGTACTAGGGTGATTTGGACACGGACATGCACCACGTATGCGGGGCATACTAAGGTGTATGTGGGGCATATGTGGCTTAAGACAAAACCCTAATCTTTGGTCTACAAACCTTATTTAAGCACTCTTATGTCATTTGGACCTAACCCTAAATAGCCTCCATTGCCTCTTATCGTCCCTAAACCATAGTTTGCAAAAGAGTGTGATTCTTGAGCTTAAATGTGATTTTGGTCTCCATTTTAGGGGGTTTGCAAGAAGGAGATTGTGGTGATCAAGTCTTGGACATGGTTGAGCTTCTAGATCTTGCATCTACTTCACCTTGGGGAACTTTTGGAGGTAAAGAGTATAGACCTTGCTTATCGTTTCGTTAGTTTGAGTTAAGGTTTGGTTATAAGTCCATTCTTGGTCCATGGATCCTCTCTTGTGAGTTTAAGCAACTCCATAGACTAAAAATGTTAGATCTGAGTTCCCTTGGAATGTTAAGAGCATGAAAATGCCAACTTGATGGGTGTTGTGGTACCATGCAAGACTTTAAGATCTTAAATGGATTGTTAATGGATAAATTAAGGTGTTGGGTTCCCATATGGCATGCAAAGACATAAACTTCCCAACTTTATGCCTTAAGATCTTTAGAATAACCAAGATCTGGAATTAGAAGAAGCGGATTCATGAATTAAGCACTTAATGGCTTTATGTCCAAAATCTACTTGTACATTTGGCGTACTATCTTGTACATTGTGCGTACCACCAAAGAACCTAGTACGCTAAGCGTACCGAGGTTGTACGTTGGGCGTATGCTTCTAGTGGATTTTGTATTTTCTTTGGGCTTTTGAGCCATTTGGTCCTTACTTAGCCTTAGTCTTGGATCTAATAGAATATTTGGGCCCTTAAACTTGTTATTGTTCCATAGGTGACATGGTTAGGCCTATTGGGCCTTGTGGACCATTATTGTTCTTGGATGTTGGATGTTAGGCCCATTAATAAAGAAAGACTATTGGGCCTTATTAGAGGAGTTTGGACTTAGGGATTTGGCCTATGCCTTGAAGTTATGACTTAATTCTAATTAGGTTAATTTGTGTATAGATTCTTAATATTCAATTCTCACTATGGAAACATTTCCATATTTCCCATATGAGAATCCATTCTAAAAAGAATCATATATTCAGAATTATATCAATATGGTCCATCCATTAATATAGTCCCAACTGTCCTTCAGCAACCAATCCTTGGAAAACCTTAGATCGTCATTGACAGTTGTTTAACTATTTTAGTCCTATTCAATTCGGGTCCCTTTTCCTTCTTAATGCCCTAGGCATTTTGAAAAACAAAACACATGAACATTATAGCATATGCAATCGATCCTATACCCGAAGCATATGAGATACGATTCATAATGTCTTACATAAAGACATGATATTTGACCAGACTCTTGCTATAATGTTTCCATATATAGAATTCCCATGTTGATACATTCCAATTAAAACTTCCATCTAAACCTTTAGATTTGAAATGAAGTATAAGTATCCTTTCGCTTAAATCTTATTACAACGAAACAACTTTTTCAAACTTTGCAAATTAAAAAAACTTCGTTTCCTATGAATATCATATATTGATAACATCATGATCATTCCCTAAAGCTCTAAGACCAAATTGAAAGTCGCCATTGACTATCTTAAAATGGTAGTATATTACTGGGGAATCCGAGACATCAACTACTTCAGTCATCTGTGGGTCTGGGTAACTTAGGTCAAGCATTATGGCATCAAGTTCATGTACAGAGAACCCATATATGTCCACATAATCAATATAACGCACTTCACCTCCAATATACTTTATATCAGGTAATTTAGTAATCTTCCCATCATGATGTAGCTTAATACTAAACCATGTGGGTGCACCAGCTATAAAGTCAAATTTTTGTATGAATACAAAGTCAAAACTATGTGTTTTTAGTGTGAAAATCAAGGGGAAAATACTTTATAGGAAGTTAAAGAAAACAAAGCAACTTACCATACATAGATGATACCTCCAAAACTTCGTTTTTTGGTCTGACTTGCCACATTACATACACAATTTCGACTTTAACATATGAAATCACCTTCTCTTGGTTGCTTCGATTAGGGTTTTTGGATAAGAAAAGAGGGTTTTTGCAGGTTCTAATCGAGCAGGAAAAGGAAGAGTGAGGGAGGTGAGGAGTTGACGTGTCTTTGGGGTCGTAAATGAGGGGGTAAAGGATTTTCTTATTCGTTGACATTTCCATCTGCAAAGATGGTCCCTAGAACATGAAAAGACTAAAATGCCCTCACGTGGAAGGCACGTAATGGAGTTAACAACAACAATTTAATGTGAGTTAAGTTGGGGGACCATTTCCACAAACAAACCATGTCAAAAGGACATTGAACCCTAAAAAGTCGAGGTTTGGACCAAACCTCGAAAATTTTGCATACCACAGGGACCATTTTTGCAATTTTGTCTATTTATTAATATAAGCTAATTGTAATGAAGGATTTTAAAGTTTATGTATAATTAGGACTAAACTGCAAAATTGGTCCCTGTGATTTGTCAAAAATTGTGGATGGAGTTCAAAAAGTTTCTGACTTGCACCAATAGTCCAAAATTGAATCTTTTTTTGTGGTTTTAGTCCCTGATAAAAGTGAAAAGTCTTTTTTACCCTTTTAATTTTCTTTTTTCCATTTTTTATATGTATGTTAATATATATTTAACTTAAAACTAATAAAAGAAAATCAAGCTTCCCCAATCATCCACCCATACCCACCCCATTCTTTTTCTTTTTATTTTCCTTTCACTTTCTTTCTTTTCCTCTTTGACTATTTCTTTTGTCCGCCAACTTTCCCTTTTCCTCATCTAATATTTTCTATCATTTTCATTCAATCGAAATCTAGTGTTAGGAAAAGTGAAGCCGGAGAAGCACAAGGCAAAAGAAATCCAAGAAAAAGTGGACGCGACCAATAGAGGCTTGGTCTTATAAATCCCTTACTGAGCAGCTCGCTAAGTTGACCGGATAGTTCTTGCATCTCAGCAGGCACTAGATGATAGGGCGATTTGGCTACGGGGGTAGCTCCTAGAATTAAGTCGATCCTGAACTCGACCTGACGTTGGGGAGGTAAACCTGGTAGCTCTTCCGGAAAGACGTCGGGGAAGTCGCGTACTATGGGGAAGTCTTTTAGGTCTTTTGTTTTCTGGCTCGTGTTGACAATGTGTGCAAGGAATGCACGATATTCCTTACGCAAGTACTTCTGGGCTTGAATACTTGAGATCACATGAAGGCTCGTACTGGGTTTGTCTCCGTAGATTATCAAGGTTTCGTTATTCGGTAGGTTTAGACAGATGGATTTGTTGAAGCATAGGATGTCGACATGATGGAGACTCAACCAGTCCATGCCCACAATGACATCGAAACTCTTGATCGATACTGGTATGAGGTCAATTGGTGTGACAACTCGAAATTTATTCCGTCACTTTAACCCACTTCCGTTAATAAAAAGTTATTTTTATTCAAGTTTTTCGTTAACTTTTGAGTTAGGTAAATACATTTGGGTTACTGTTATATATTTCATATACGTCTTAAAGCAATAAAATCATGTGAAATACCCTCGATTTCGTTCGGAAAAATTTCCAGCTCACAACTAAGTCGGGTTACGGCCATTTAATCGGGTAAAATCGTAAACTTCGTTTCATGTCGGGATTGGGAGGATCCCCACCTGGCCGTGAACTCAACCCTATCTAAGGGTTGAGCAGTCACCATTTGAACCTTTTTCACACCCTTGGAACTTTCTCTCTCTACTCTCTCTCTAGAAAAGTTGGATTTTGGTCGAGAATTGCCCCTTTCAAGCTTCATAACTGTAAGTTAACCTTCCTAGCTTGATGTTTAGCTTAGCATACTTACTAATTCGAGGTTTAATCATCCAAAAAACCCAAAGAACATGTGTTTACGGTATAGGAATATCCCAAAACTGTAAACACCCTAAAAGGAGGTTTTGATGCCCCAAAACCCTTCCAAAACCCTTCCAATGCTTAGCTAATGGCCTAGGGACTTGCATGAATGATCTAAGAACCCCAAAAAATGAAAATAGAGGTGTAAAAATGAGTTTATAGTTTGGGAATGTCCCAAAACCGTAAACACCTCCAAAGGTTCTTTAAGTGCCCCTAACACCTTGTATAGCTTATATTTGGGTCTAGAACTTTGCATGCTTAACCTACATCTCCAAGACACATGAAAAATGGACAAACATGAGTTTACGGCCGTAAACTCATGTGTTTACAACCGTAAACTCACCAAGGAGCCATTCAAGAATAGTCAACTCCATTTAAGGGTCATTTCAAGTTCCAATCACTTCCATACCCTTTGACTCAACCCTAGGACCCGTCCTTGAGTGAGATAAGACCTTTGAGCACCCAATATCACCACTCCCATGAGTTTATGGTCGTAAACTCATGGGGATATGGTCTTTGGACTGTAAACACCCCTAAGGGTTCACACTTGAAGAGTAAACTCCTTAACGAGGCCATACACTCCTTAGATGCAACCCGTATCATTCCTAACACTTGAAATAAAGTTTTTCTGCGCATTTGAGTGTATTTACTTGCTTAATTAGTGGTTTAATGACTAATTAGATACAATTATGTATCAATTCGTGTTACATAGGATCCTCGTGTGTGTTTAAGTCCTAAATTGACACTAGCATCCTACCCAGCACACACACGTCAGGTGAGTTCATACCCCTACACTTTTTCGAGTTTTTCATGTTTTCAGGGGGTGGGGAATACAAGCAAAACATAAAGGATTTCGTATTTCAAAAAAACTGATGTAATTATAACGACTTTTGATCAAACTTTTAGATACCTTTATCCCTTTTGTACTATGCAGAGCATAAGGGATGCCTTCTAAATATAATTACATAGTTTTCTAAACAACATGGGAACTTATCAAACCATTCAAACTATTATGGGAATAATTTGGGATCTTCATTACTTGCTTCCAGATTTTAATGTCATGCAAAGTCAATATATAAACTATGTCTGATTTAGTTTATCCATTATTAACCTAGAGTATCATACTAAATAATTACCTGGTGTTTAATTATTTATACTCTACTTTGTTCCAAACGACTTCGAAACTTTATAACAGCTAAATACCTCGTGAATTAGTTAATACTAGCTTGTGAGACTTATCTTTCTTATGCCCTACGGGGTACTAATAAATCCTCTCTGGTAGTATAACCAGAGTCTCCTAAAGGGAGAGCGTGAAATTTGTGGATAGATCTATTCGGGACTGACAATCCCACACCTAAACTGCTAGCTACAGTTAGGCGGGCACACCTGGGGTGACAAATTTTGGAAATCGTACGACGCCTGAAGAATGTCAAGGAGGGCACAGGTCAAATCAGTATGGTTATACGACTCACAATACATATAAACTAACTTTGTTCAAAATCACTTTCTTTCTTCTATAGTTTTATTTATGTAATAAAACTACCTACTTACTTACTGGAGGGTATTCCAGGGACACAACTAATGGTTTTATCTTTAGTAATAAAACTACTATACTTACTGGTGGTAACCAGGGTTTTCTTACCGTATGGAAATCGACAAACATGTTGGAAAATATGGGATTTTCTGGGAAAACATGCACATGTATTTCATAACTCAATAATGATGGTTTTTTATATTTACTAAAATCTTTATCAATGGAACTGAAGTATTTTCATAAGATTTAGTAACCCGTTTTTCCTTACAAAGCATGCTTATGAACTCAATAACTTTATGCTGATATTTCTAAAACTGCTTGTATTCTCAGGTTCACGTTAGACAGGTATCCCGCTTACTTTTGGAGAATACGGTGCATATAGAAGTTTCGTCTATACTTTGTTATTATGATTGTATATAAACTAGGTATTTCTTAGCTTTCAAACAAATGTAAATATTTTTATGTAATGTAATGGTTGTGTTTACTATGCTTACTATGTACAATGGTTGTGATACTACGCATGATGTCCTCCGCCCCGGAACGTTTCCGCCATCGGTTTCGGGGTGTGACAATTGGGAATGAGTGATTATCTAGTGTGAGGGTACAACGCATGTAGATCTCTTTAGAACTCTTTGTCTTTCTATTAGCCATTTCTACGACGAAGGTTTCTTTTAATGGTTGCGGGGATTGTTTAAGTAAGTGTTTAAAGTTTTGGTTTACGAAGCTTCTCTCTACCCCACTATCGAATAGGATACAAGCAGAAGAGTTATCAAGAAGGAACGTAACCGTGACTACTGTGGGGTCTGCTACTGCTTCATTGTGGCCAATAGCAAGTAGTCTTCCTGTTCCTCCCGTATTCCCAACTTTTGGAAAGTTTCTTTTGAAATGCCCTACTTCGCCACAGCCATAGCAGGCCTGGCTTACTCTCGAGCTGGGGACCTGAGAAATGGGTTTAGGTTGAGATCTCCAAAACCGGGCGGTATGGCCCTTCCAGTCGCAGTTAGTGTTGTGCATTTCACAGCAAGGGCCGTTATGATGGAAGGAGCACTTGGTGCACTTGGGTAGGTTTCCAGCATATGTTTTGGCTGGTACAGGGGCAGCAGGGGTAGTGGCAGCATGGACAACCAAAGTCTGTTGGTTCTTGGAAGAGGATTGAGTTGACTTGCCTTTTTTTTGGTCCCACCGCTTCCTCTTGTTGTCAGATGTTTTGGTCAGTGCATTGGCAACCGCCGCGGTTTTTGATGGAGTGGAAGGAACCTCATGATCAATTAACCTTTGGGCCAATTCCTTGGCACTGTCAAAGGTCGTAGGGTGTGATGCTAAAACGTTCCCTCAATATGGGGGTACTAAACCCCATATGTATCGTTCAATTTTCTTGCCCTCAGTGGGGATCATGTTAGGACACAGAGTTGCCAAGTCGCAGAACCTGTCCGTAAAAGCCACTTTGTCGGTCCTCTTAATCTTGAGGTTTCAAAGTTCCTCCTTGAGTTTCTGAATCTCACCCCTAGGGAAGTACTCCCTTGTCAGAAGGTCTTTTAGTGTGTCCCAGCCCATGGCATTGGCTGTTACCAAGGAGAGTGATTTGACATGGCCATTCCACTACGCCAAGGCCCTTTCAGTGAAGGTGCAAGCTGTGAACTTTATCTTGCTCTCTTCGGGACACGAGCACCTTGGGACAGCCTGAAGTTTCCATTCTGTACAAACAATATCACTTCAATATAAGTTATAACAGTCATAGTAAATTTTCAGAGTTTTTCGTATAAGTTTGAGTA